TAATGGCTGCTAAAATACAGCTTTGCCATTACGGAAATAAATTTGAAAATATGTTCAAATAGAAAACAGATATTTTAAATGTTAATATTTCAGAATATTACTGTTTTTCCTGTATTTTGATCAAATAAACGCAGCCTGGGTGAGCATAAGACACTTTCAAAAACAAAAACTCACAAAGAAAACAGCAAACTTTTGAACAGTAGTGCAATTAAAACAAAATGTGAACATTCATGCTCCAAAAATAAATGCAAAAAAGTCTTGACGTCACATTCACAACTCCCCCAAAATAAAACGAAACACTGTCTCAATCTTTGATAGAGTGTTATGCACAATGATCTCATTCACATGCAACAGAGTTTCATCAAAGTTTCATCGCTGTCAGACAGATCAAGAGCTCAACACTGTCACAACAGTGGAAGCTGACTTGACAATGCCATTCAAAGATTTTATATTTGACAATGGCCTACAAAAGCAGCTTGTAGTGCAGTGCATTTGTTGTATTGTGTACATGATGTGGTTGTGAGCAGCTATCACACTCATCTGCCCACATATCGAAGCACCTGCGTCTTGTGGCTTGATGCTGGTCTGCAGCTCATCGAGACGCTCATCAACATTCCAGATTCTCATTTGCATCAACTGGAATTCCTCCAGCAGCACATCCAATTAACTCTGACATCCGTGACAGCTGTTTTTGAAACTCTGCAATTTTGCAGAGGAGAAATATGACAGGTTTCAGTTTAATTGCGAAAAATGAGTATAAATTATTTCACTACTGGCATTTCATATGCAGTAATATGAGCACTTACCACTTTATGACGGCCTGCACTGTCATTAAAACGTTGAAAATGGTGATTTTGATGAGGAGAATCCTGAGAGCTTCAACAAATAATAGATCTTTGTTTGCTCGGACGTCTGCAACAGTACAGAAAAATGAGTACAAAACAAACGGAACTGACTTTTTAGTATTAACAATTGTACTGTACCTTCCAAAAAACTGCTTTGATGGTCCAAACACATATCAAAGGTTTCTTCATCGTCAGTCATTCCTGAAGTATATTAACACTTTACAATTAAGTCCCTTTAGTTACTATCAATGACCAATATGTTTGTTACAGCATTTATTCATATTTGTTAATGTTATGAAAATACAGCATAAGAAAATTAACCATGTTTTACTACAAATAAAACCAAAAAAACATGGTAACCACAAATCAGCCATGGTTTTGCAAAACTAACCATAGTTTAACCATGGTATTTGTAGTAAAACTGTGGTTAAACAAATGGCAATCAATCCACCAAAAAATCATGGTTACTACAGTTTTACTATAATAAAACCATGGTTAATTTTCGTAAGGGATAAAATAATATTTCACCCTTACTTCATGTGAACTAATGTAGTTAACAAATGTTAACTGTAAGGGATAAAATAATATTAGCAGATACAAATTAATTAACAAATGTTTTAGAAGTATTTTTCACCCTTACTTCATGTGAACTAATGTAGTTAACAAATGTTAACATATATGTAAACTAATGTTTACATATAATGATGCAATAATTACAGAGTTTACCGGTCATCTCCATTGGGAGTCCAGCATAATGTCTGTGCACGAGTTGATCGGAGCCTCTGTGACTCACAAAGCAGGTGTAGGACATCCATTCACTCGAGGGCACAGATATAACAGACATTGCGTTCTGAATGCCACTGTGTCCTTGGAGTAAGTTCGAGACTGCTGGATTAGTTCCTCTGGTGCCACTAGAAATCCAGGCAACCTCCAGCTCTCCTTGATGAATGTCGTGAACCACACACACCAGGATGGTCAAGCCGTTGAGATCAGTGTTCAAATGAAATGGCGGAGATAAGATGGCAAAAGGGACAGCATCTGATCCCACTTCAGAGACGAGAACAAGACTCAGAAAAGTTAGTATTAGTATGCATAGATGGTTATAAAAGTTAGAGTTATAAAGGTTTGGGATCGGTATCATGGTTTCCTCAGCAACATTGTGCTGTTTTCAACACTGATAATAATAATAAATGTTTCTTGAGCTGCAAATCAGCATATTAGAATGATTTCTGAAGCATGTGACACTGAAGAATGTTAAATTGTAATGGTTTACTGGATTTAAAAAATGGACCAACCCTAAACTTTTGAACCGTACACTAAAACAAATGTCGTTTTTACCAATGTTCACCCAGAAACTGCTAAATTTCACAACTAATTACTTCATAACTAAAAATGGCAGGTAAAACATTGAAACAAACATAATTTTGAATTAGAAAGACTGAAATAGCCTAGTATTTTCTTGTAAATATTTGTAATATTTACAACATCAAAAAAGTAGTGTGGTATGTATTTCAAAACAAATGACAAAAACAGTCCAGTTATTGCAGTATTTTAAATTATGATGTTTTAAAGATAAGATGGCAAAAGGGACAGCATCTGATCCCACTTCAGAGACGAGAACAAGACTCAGAAAAGTTAGTATTAGTATGCATAGATGGTTATAAAAGTTAGAGTTATAAAGGTTTGGGATCGGTATCATGGTTTCCTCAGCAACATTGTGCTGTTTTCAACACTGATAATAATAATAAATGTTTCTTGAGCTGCAAATCAGCATATTAGAATGATTTCTGAAGCATGTGACACTGAAGAATGTTAAATTGTAATGGTTTACTGGATTTAAAAAATGGACCAACCCTAAACTTTTGAACCGTACACTAAAACAAATGTCGTTTTTACCAATGTTCACCCAGAAACTGCTAAATTTCACAACTAATTACTTCATAACTAAAAATGGCATGTAAAACATTGAAACAAACATAATTTTGAATTAGAAAGACTGAAATAGCCTAGTATTTTCTTGTAAATATTTGTAATATTTACAACATCAAAAAAGTAGTGTGGTATGTATTTCAAAACAAATGACAAAAACAGTCCAGTTATTGCAGTATTTTAAATTATGATGTTTTAATGAAGTGCCTTTACTTGAGCTTTGTACGTGCTACGAATGTTAGTAATTGTGCTAGCTTCCCTATAAAGTCTACAACTTACTTGTAAAAAGCATGGTGGTGAGGAGGGTAGGAAGCATGTTGATGTTGTCTAGCTCTGTGAGTTGAGCCAGCCAGTGAAAAGGATTATCAAGTTTCAGTCATGTGATTTCACACCCGCCATGGAATCTTTCCATCGTTTGTGTTATTCTCAGGGGAGCTGTGCCAAAATACGGTATGGCTGGGCTAAAAGGAGCACACAGAGACCTGTGCTGCTAAACACGCTGATACACTTATTTTGGCATCAGGTTTCATTCATAGTGTAAAATAACTCACTAGCAATTCGACATTTAAAAAGAGTGTATACAATTTGATCATTCACCTCATTGTCTCCACCTGAGTTCCATCATGAATTGAATTTCAGAAATATTTCTTGGACAAGGTATGTATTATGTAAAATAATAAAAAATAGTTCTTTTTGGTGTGATATGTTGTAAATACTTGTGAGAATGTGAAGTGGAGCGTTTTCCCAAAGATTCGCACCTGTTTTATGTTGGTTTCTTCTGTGGTGAGAAACAGATAATATCAACACCAACGGCTGTACCTGCTGCTTTATACATCTGGATGAAATAAAACTGCACTTTCAAAGAATGTTTTGATCAGGTGTATATGACAAAGCTTCTTGATCTTTACTAAAAGTCTCTTATATGAAACAAAAGTAGCAGCAATCACTGGACATTGGCCATTTTTTGCAAGTCAGGTTCAGGTCTTAAGTAACAATGCAGTTTGTGTCTTGTTGTAGAGTTTATAGGGAAAGCTAGTACAATTATTAACATATTTGGCAATCACACAGCCCAAAAGCATCTCACTATAGCATATCATTTAAAATACTCTATTTCTGCAATAACTGGGTGTATTTTGTCCTTTGGTTTTTTAAATACAGTACTGTATATATAATACAGTTTATTTATAAAACAAATATTACTGCAGTATGTTTTACAAGAAAATGTCAGTCTTTCTACCTTAAAATGTCATGTTTAATTTCATGTTCTAATTGCTGTTTCTTTATAATTAGCTGTGAAATTTACTAGCAGTTTACTATTGTTTCTACACAGTTCAAAAGTTTGGGGCTGGTAAGAATTTTTATGTTTTTGAAAGAAGTCTCATGAGGCTGAATATATTCGATTAAAAGTAAAACAGTAGGCTACTATTATGAACAATTATTACAATTTAAAATGACAGTTGCCATAACTCTTTTATTTTAGTAAGTATACCCAAATAATTATGAAATATTACACTTTAAACTTGATAGTTTGTTTGTTTTAAGATTATTCACTAGTCATTGTGTTTAATGCGATATGTATTTTGCTTATAATACTTTCTAGTTTGATTTTATATATAGCAGGGCTTACTAGGATTTTTTCCCCACACACATTTAAAACTTTATATTTAAAATGACAGTTGCCATAACTCTTTTATTTTAGTAAGTATACCCAAATAATTATGAAATATTACACAGTCCTTTAAACTTGATAGTTTGTTTGTTTTAAGATTATTCACTAGTCATTGTGTTTAATGCGATATGTATTTTGCTTATAATACTTTCTAGTTTGATTTTATATATAGCAGGGCTTACTAGGATTTTTTCCCCACACACATTTAAAACTTTATTATTTACTGAACATCATGAAAGACCAAAAAGTACAGAAATGTCCAAGTCATCGGCTCAAATCTGAGTAAAATACAATTGGCGATAGACTAAATATTTTGCCAAGTTCAATAACAACACTGACAACAACAACGGCTGTTGTTGTGTAGCCGTTTTTATCAATATATCAATTTTATCATTACACAATACTGTGTAATGTAGGCTACTTGTACTGAAAAGCTCACATTTTAAAAAGCATCTGTTGGCCAATGGTTGTTTTTCTCTATATTCTATCATATAACAGTCAAAAATAACAAAGAACTTCAGTGTTTTTGTTCTGTCACAGTATACTACTGTGCATGTTTACTACTCGGACATGACCTGGCTGTTTGTACGTGATGACAGCTGTAGGTCATTCCTCTGTCCGGCGGCTGGAGCCTCACTGTGTTGTTGTCAGTTGAATACAGAGACACGGCCAGACAGCACATGCTCGGCAGCTACTGCTGCAAACCAGGAAACTGTGGGCAGGACAAATGAAAGAGAAAATGAAAGCAGTCGACACAATGATCCAGCTCAAATTCAGGTAAAGACACAACACTGAACGGTTAAAATGAGTGCGTTCCTCAATACTGTTGTTAGTAGATGCTTGTCCTACTTTACAGAGACCACATCATCGCGACACAAACACATGCCAGAATAGAGCTAGAGAGCTCGTAGCCTACTGTATCACAGCAGATGTCAATGTATTAGCGTGAACAGGCTCACGTTACAGAGTGAGGTCAACAGAGAACGCTCAGCACGGTTCTGTTTTGCCATGCGTGTTATTTTAAGGACACTTGATCGTTGTCTTTTATTTTAATTAGCATTTTGATCATTCTAACATGTGCTGGATTCTACAGTGCTTTGTGAATGACAAATTCTCTGTGTGAAATGTAGGTCATTTCAGGTTTCAGTTAGTGGCAAACCAGAGGCAATAATAATGTATTTAAATGATATTTAATACACTATATTTTGTCAAATGAAAGCTTATGGGCTTTTAGATTTTGAATTTTAGTCAAACACCTGTGCTTATGCCTGTTAGCAATGGTGCAAACTACCTACTGTAAGTACACAAAATGGCACAAATGAAAAAAAAAGATAGTTTCAAGATCACAGGAAATTTTGGAAATATTAATGTCTATATGTATTAACATTTAGATTAAAATATGTCTGTAAGTTAGCAGCATAACACCACAGATTCTAATAAAGTGCGATACATTAAACTGTCAGAAATGTATAAAAATGAATGAGAAAGATTTAACTCGCCATGCATGCACCCCACAATGCAAGCTTGGTTCTACCTCAGGATGAAGAAAAAAAAGGTTATTATTATTTTCTTAAATTTTCTATTTCATGGCGGAAACAAAAACAGAATTGTGAAGATGTAAACTCGTAATTCAGAGAAAAAAAGTGAGTTTATATTCATATAAAGACTTATATCAGTTTTTGTAACACAGCAGACATAAAGTTGGGGGACAGAACTTTTTCTTAAATTTTAATCAAATATGAACTTTTAAAAATGAGTTAATTTAAGGACAATCTGTATTCACAACATTTATTTATTTTGTTTATTTTATTCATTAATGTATGGTAGGAATATGCTAGTTTTGTTACACATTAAATCCCTCAAACTCTCTTACAAAAAATGTAATAGTGCACAAATAGTTTTTACACGATAGAATACAAATATGCAGACAATTGACTATTTATTGGTATTTCAAGTTTATTTCAACAGTTGCAAAGTAGAGGGACACAACTTACCACCACAAATGAAGAACACTCTTAAAAATAAAGGTGCTTCAAAAGGTTCTTCAAGTGATGCCATAGAACAACCATTTTTAGTTCCACAAAGAACCTTTCAGTCAAAGGTTCTTTAAAGAACCATCTCTTGCTTATCTTTTTATAATCTGAAGAACCTTATTTCCCCACAAAGAACCTTTTGTGAAACAGAAAGGTTCTTCAGATGTTAAAAGTTCTTTATAGAACCATTTAGACAAAAAGGTTCTTCTATGGCTTCGTGAAGCACCTTTATTTTTAAGAGTGAAGGACCAATATACAGTGATTTATTAGTATTTAGTGCAGTAAAAGCAAAGAATACTTCAATTATTTACACATCACGTGAGTGCCAACTTTGCTTTTCTCTCCACAGGACACAGTGACAATTTCTAAAATGCAAAAGTGATCACCATCAAAATCAGCAATACCAAGAACATTCATTATGCATCTCTTGCTTGTAATCCTGCTCTTTCTGGAGTCACAGTTTTGTGTCCAGTCTTCTGATAGCAATAGTCCTGCTGGCGAAAACCTGGCAACAAACGGCCTTCCTTTTCCATGGAGTAAAGTACGCCTGCCAAACTACATAGTGCCTGTACATTATCATCTACTTATTCATCCCAATCTCACCACCCTGAAGTTCAACGGTTCTGTAAAGATTGAAATCGATGTCAAAAACAACACAAACTGGGTGGTGCTGCACAGCAAGAACCTCAAGATCTTCACCGCCACTGTTCTGGACGAGCACGAGGCCCATCTGTCAGACAAAGTGCTCTCGGTGCTGGAATATCCTGCACATGAACAGATTGCCATCTTCTCCCCAAAGATTCTGACCTCTGGGGAAAAATACTTAATGTATTTGGAATTTGGTGCACCATTAAGTGATGGCTTCTATGGATTTTATAAGAGTACATATAGAACAAAAGCTGGGGAGACAAGGTAGAGGAAAAATAGCTGAAATGTAACATTATATAAATCATACCAGCAAAAACACCATAGAATATATTGCAAATCATTTCTAAATAATCAATCTAAATTTTCTCCCCTAAAGGGTCCTGGCATCCACCCACTTTGAGCCAACATCTGCCCGAATGGCACTGCCATGTTTTGATGAGCCCATTTTCAAAGCTAATTACACTGTCAGAATAAGGAGAGGCCCGTCACACATAGCTTTGTCCAACATGCCATTAGTAAGCTCAATTTATACATCTACTTTATCAATGTAGAGTCAGTGTAAGTCAAATGTACTTTGATTGGAAAAATATATAGAACAAATGGATGGGATAACATTTTGAAATTCTGAAAAAAAAATCTATCCATCCATCCATATATATA